TGCGCCATCGCCAGGGCCGCGCACGCGCCCGCCCGCCCGCCTGCGATGCGCCCGCGCCGCGCCGCACCGCCCGCGACACAACACAACATTGCACTTCTACGTTTACATTTCGCATTGCTACACTTAGGCATAAACCTTAGGCAAATACATAGGAAAATAAGTATTAATCAATAAGCCAATCAAGTTCAAACTTTCTAGAACCCGCTATTATTGTATAACTAAAATTTCATCGTTATTTCTATAGTAGTCAAATAGGTCATAGTAACTTGAGAACAAAATGTTATTAAATTATACTATTTTTGTAATGATTGTCCGCTTGCGATATCTCCTTTATTGTAATTTTTCATGCATAATTTCAATTATCTGACTTAATACTTAACTACAAATACGCACAAACGCAAATAGTTAAAATGAAATGACATTATATTCAAGTTAAGTGCCGCCACTATACACCTTATCAGATCAGATTACCAAGTATCAAATATCGAGTTAAACCCGCAGCGTTAAAAGGGAAAGATAAATCAATACACATCAATGCTACGTCAGTAACTAAAGGCGAATTAAAGTTGTGTCGATAGGCGTACAGCACGAGTTTACTCATTATTTTACTTAATTGTTCCTAACATTGTTTCCTGTTTACACACCCATGTTGGAAACTTGGCTAAATCATCCCTCGGTAGTCACCACTACGACAAAATCAAGGGGCTCGAATGGAAATATAAAGTAAGATAAGACAAAGTATGTTTATAATTTTACTTCGCCCAAGGAAAAGTAATTTTTCCATCTTTTGAGTACCTTTTTCCCATAGATGAAATAATATCTCCTATCTTCTTTGTTGTATTGCAAATTCACTAGCTAAAATGAACGCTACATATGTAAATGATATATGCGGCTTATGGCTAACCTTGGTGTATAAATTAGAAAGACAGTGCCTGTGACTTATTAGACCCATAATAAAAATATGTCTATCCGTGGGAGTGCATTGCCTCGGCACATATGGGCCGGACGACCGGAGTGATTCCAAGGCCTCGCAGAAAACTGTTGCTTGCTGTTAAGCAATTCTTTCGTTGCTTTTCACCGAGTGGTTGTGGGTACCCAGACCCCAAACCACTCCTCCCCCTAATTCTGTTTGGGGAGGAGACTCAAAGTGTTGCCACCTTTATACTGCAACAGTTGTGAGTCACAAGTGTCTATGTGTAGTCACTTATCATCAGGCGAACTTCGAAGCTTTCGAAGAGGCGATTTTCATCTTAGGTTACTTGGCAACGTAAAGTATCCGGAATACGGGTTTCATATGGAATTTACTTAAATCATTAGTCGGGCGCTTGGTACATTCTATTAAAATTATTTTTTAAATATACGACTCGGCATTTGGTTTCACTACATTGTGAAGTAAAATTAAATTCTAGGAAGATCTTAGACCACCTCAACGGCAAGCCTATTATGGCATAAGCATTGTGTTATCCGAGATGCAATCGGCGTCGCCGGCCCAAGTGTCTCATTGCACCCAACGCGGACAAAATATCTCACTTATTTTGTTATTGCTCGAAGAATCTTGACCCACCAAACTGTACTTACTCTCTTCGAGCTTCAAATCTGAGCTAATGTAGCACGTAAGTGTTCTTTTGTAAACAAAGCCCATTGTAACAAAAAAAAAGTTTCCTTACTTTTAAGTTTACAGTTACAGTTTAAGTAAACAGCCCTCTTTTTTAAAGACGATTTTCTAAAATTTATTTCGCTGTCATTTAAAACATAAAAATTGTTGCCCATCATAGCTATGCGATAAGTTAAAGGTCCAATAGCAAAAAGCCTTATAGGCAATGTGGTTAAATAAAAATTATATATATATATATATAGAACATGTAATTTGATGATAAGGAACAATATTAAAGGCTTTAGCGGAAGGCGAAGCTGCCAGAAAGTGGTTGATTTGTTGGCCATCTATCAATCGCAACTTTGTAGTACCTACGTAATGTGGCTAGCGTTGGCGTACGTTTCACAGTAATTTACCTATCCTCGTGCAACATAGTATTTTTTGTATCTCTCTCTGTACGTCGCATTACCTGTCTGTGAAAGGTCTGAGTTGACGCTTTCGTAAGCTACTCGTAGATACGCGAAAACTTGTTTCTAAAAACTGAATAACCCCTTCTTTTCGCTAAATGTTTTTTTCTAAATAATATTACTAGGCATAATGGCTATTAGCCTAATAGTGTTTAGGCATAAAAATCAATAGGAATAATGGAATGTGCCTCAACAGGTTAAGGAGCGGCGGGGGTGGTATTTGGCCAATACTTTCAGATTGCCATGTGTGTGAGATGTGTGAAGTTATTATTATTACAAATTCATATTTGAAAATATATAGTGTCTAACATTTTAGGACTTCATTATTATGAGAATTTCTTGCCTGTAAAAAATATGTTTTAATATGATAATGCGCAAATAAATTTATGCTTTAGAATGTATTGCTTAAATATTATTATAATTAGAGAAACTATGCTAAAAAAATATCCGTAAGCTGTTATGTAGTAAACAAAGTTATACCATGTTGTCTTGTCTTAAAATTTTATGCGAATGGATAGTGACCCACTGAATATAGACAAAAGATTTTAATAACATTATAAATTTACTATCTTCTTTCTATTCTTGATCGGTCACCGAAATTTATTTGCCTCAATGTGTGTAGTACCAATACAAATCAACCATTAGAGCTATTTTACTCGCACACTCAAAGCCAAGGTTGTCTGAATAAGGCATTATTTCCCACCCTGCGGACAATCCCAGCTTAAATAAATTTCTGTTGTGAATGTTACCTTTGTGTTTGTAATTTCTGTTTTAGACATATCAAACATAAAGACGAGAAAAATCAATCGATTCTATTAATTCTTGCGACATCGATGATTCACCTGATTCATTAAATAATTAGTCAGAAACCACACAACAGATGCCTTAAATTTTCCTTAATGATGTTCTATTAATGTAAATTGGAGGTAAAAAAATCAACGGATAAAATTAATGAAATCATTTCAATTTAAGGAGCAGCCATCATTACCTCAGACCGCGAAATGGAAAAGGGAGAAAATCTTTGCAAAAGCAAAAATTGTAATGAAACGGATTCACGGTGAGATTGCAGATGCTTTCAAAGTTCCATTCAAAAATATTTCTCTGGATGAAACAATAATCTGGTGACTCATCACATTCTCACTTTGAAAACATTCTTTGAACAAAATTCGACTGAATTTTTCAATAACGGCCTAGAACGTATTATCGATTGCAGGATAAATTTGATTCACAGTAGTAGTATTCCGTTTCCCTTTACTTAGGTTAGCCCCTGTTTACTGTTGCTATCGTACTTTTGATGTTATTAAATTTTTGACCGCTTACATTAATCTTTAGGCGCAAAGATTCAATTATGATGAGCTTTGAGCTCTTTTCTAAATAAAAGCTTATTTTATTTCTTTTTGTTGTTACACTGTCTTGTTAACATTGATTTATATTGTTTTTTTTTTAATTTATACGCATAACAATCGAATTCACAGACGTTCGTCTTCATGTGGTTCTGGTACGAAATCGCGATGTTTATATACAAAAAATGTTCTTCTGAACAATAAATGTTGCTAGTGTTTACCGTGGTGATGGATTAAGAATACAAATTGTCACCACCCCAATTCATCCCGTGGGTGTCGTAAGAGCCGACTAAGGGAGCAAACTAAGCAGGACAACAGCACTGCAAAGAGAAGGAAAACTTGAAACAACCCTATACCAACCCGTCTGGCCAGCGTGGTATAGTAGGCCAAAACCTCCTTTCTAAGGAGAGGCCAATGTCCAGCAGTGGACTAGTATAGGCTGTTGATGATAATGATGAGTGTTTATACTATTCTTAGTATAGTATAGTATAGTATTCTTTCTATTGTTTTACAACTATAAAGTAAATTATAAGGTTATTGCGCGCATTATTCTTTTAGTATTTGTACTTTAATCATCTTTATTAGCATTCTCTAAAATAGTCACTAAAATAGTAGTAGTTGATAAACATCTGGGCATTGAATGATTCTCTTGGCACAACCGTAACTTTGCACTATAATTGTATCTGTATGTGTTATATAATTGTATATGTGTATATTTGTGTTATACTTATCTACTCAATTAGTTATAATGTACAAAAATAATGTAAACATTTTGGACATAAATTAATAGTTATTATTAAACTTACAACTTTACACCTTATGTGTTGCTATCATTTCTTTTTCATAATTAACTGTCATTAATTAAGCATTCCATGTATTGGTCAGACACATGCGATATGAACAGTTATCTATCACATGAATTATTTAAAACTCACGCTCCCCTCCCCACGCATACTTCCCAAACCCCACCAACCCGGAGTGCGCGCGCGCATGCGGGCACTACGACAGAAACTTGACGATTAATAACACTGATTGAATTGTCTATCAAGTTCATTGTCGTCACATTTTTCCTCCATTATTTTTTATGGTTTGATTTATCTTTATTACCATCATTATGTTTATGAAAGTACGATGATGACCGAGATAAGAGTGGAAGTTCGTAGAATCGACTTTACATACAGCACTTTCTTTTATTTTACACAAAAAGATGACGTGTTAAAAAAATAGATTCATATAAACACACGTTTCGCCTGATGGTTAGTAGTTGTTGACGTTGACACAGTGTGACGCAACATTTCAGCTTATTCCTATATATGTGTAAATAATTAATCACTTCTTATTTATTTGAGTACAGGTTTCCAGTGATGACATAGTTACCATGTTAGTTATTTTATTACCGCTTACGGTTAAGCGATGTATTTGCGTTAACGTGGTCACGAATGAAACTATATGCCATCATGATACAATTAGTAAATACAATTTAAGAATATAGAAGTGTTAGAACTGACAAGAATTAAATTACCTACCCGTTACTTAGATAAACGAATCTTTACATGTACAAAAAACAAGCTGAGGCGGGGTTTTCTTCGATGCACGTCAGGAGGCAGAGGCGATGACGAGGATATGTGAGTGACGGTACACGTCAAGCGACTCTGCCACACACGGGGACGTGCCCGTCCTATGTGCCGTATACAGCGGTGACAGTTCCGGTGTATCGCCTCCGGGCCCCGCAACCCGTTCCGAGAGACTGATGACCGCAAGATAACGGAACGCAATACCACTAAAGAGGCCCGCCCTGCGCATACCCGTGCCGCCATACTCACTACCTTGGGAACCACGCCACCACCCATTCATTTTAGCATTCTCACAGCACGCGTTACGTAAACCAAGGGCCGTTAAGTAAATGCTGTACAGCGGCTTATTACGAACCTGTTCTATACAAATTACTGGCCCACATACGTTTCATGAGAACGTCGACTTAAGTCGTAAACGCAATCACAAACACGTCCAGCAAAAGCATTAAGCTCTCGCATAAAAACGTTTTACCTCTTCGGAATTTAAAGAACTACGAAGAATTCTAGTAGGTACGTAAGATTCACAAGTCTACAGAAGAAGAGTTAAAAAACGATCAAAACAAACAATGGCTTAAAGTTGGGTCCAAGGCTATTCAGAAAAAAAAAAACGTTGAATCTCAACTGTGTGCCTACGACAACACACCTGCGCGCCAGACGAACAAAAAATTCGCGCAAAGCAATCATACGTCTGATCATGTGCCTGCCCGCCCGCCAGTGAGCGTGGCGGCTTGAAATTGCACAGAAACAGAATTGCACACTGTCATTCCTGATATGCTATAAACATACATATATAGTCGTATATTTGTCTCTCATTCGGAATTTTAGTAGTATCCCATTAAAGTAAAAGTTAAACTTAGGAAAACAGTATATTTTTATTAAGTTTATCGCTTTATAATCAAAATGTTTGTCGTAAGTGTGGCCAAATTGTTATTGACCTTCCAACTTAGAGACTAAAAAACTAGTATCTATTTTATCATACACCGCATATGAGACGTAAAAAATAAAGGTGGAAAGGCAATATTAAATCTGACTAACATATTTTCACAAGTAATTAAAATATTAAATATATTCCAAGCTATCGTATATACTTATGTTTATGTATAAAACGTAAACATGCTCTGTAAACGTAATCTTAAACAGCAGAGGTTTTCGAACTCAATATTTAAGTAAATAAAACGTTTACCGTAATTTATATTTCATTGGCATGTCTCTAATTCCACCTCTCATCTTAGTGACTACAATACAATTGACGGCCTCTCATCTTAGTGACTACAATAATATTGAGTTGGATAGTTTAATTCAACGTTATGTGTTGTCGGGAAGCAAGCAGATGCCTCCAAACACAGTGCCTGTTCACGACGATAATTTTTCGCAGCCGGATACCGTGTTACTTTCAACTATGAGGAATGCGGCCAGTGACCAGCTTCTCATGCGGCCCGCCCCACCCTTTTCCGAACACCACTAGTAGCTCACTAATCGGTGATAGTACCATTACATTGCAGATATTGCACAATGAAATCATAGCGCTTTCATTTGTGTCCCTTCAGCTGAATGTATTCTGGACTTTATCTCTTGTTCTGGGAAACGCGTACTACACACACGTGTATGATGCAATCATTGTATACTTGTTCATTATAGCTCATTAATTTCACTCTACTAGAACTAATTTGAATCAGCAAAGTGATGATTGAAGACTGACTCGACAAATGCATTAAAATAATTTATAGGAAGTAGTAAATAATAGAGTTTCTGAAGCGTATCATTAACTTTTTAAACAATGTTTTTAATCGTTTAATTTCGCTTGTCCACGATCGTTAATCTTATCATGTGTGTTGGAAATAAGTGCGCAAGCGACAGACGTCCCGATATCCTATGTGTAAACATTTATCTGTCGACCGATAAATCATGTCATTGTTTAGTGAAAGACATCTGACAGACAAGTATTTATTCCCTTTTCGCACTAAATTACGGCAAATCAATATTAACAACACTTGTCGTGGATTTATTACATGAGGTATACTTTATGTTTAGGCGTTAACTATTGAGAAGGGTTGCTACACCTTTCACTTCTAAATTAATACACAGTTAAGGTGTCTGTTTATCGGATTTAAAGGGAATCTCCCAAGTATATCCCGAGTTTTAGTATAATTCTATTGGGTATTTTCTAGATGTCCATAACTATACGCATACTCTATAAACAGTACCAAATATTTTAATGCTACGGACAGCATCAGATTATAGGTTGCAATCACAGCTTATTTATATAATCATAGCTTATTTATATTTAAAAAAAATATATTTTCGTAATAAGTTTTACAGCTATAACAACTTGGACAATTTTCAAGTCACCTAACTTTTTAGATAATAGTTCGTAGGTATATCTAACTCAGGCAGGCATATAACTTTCTAATCTAACTTCTTTTTTAATCAAATTAATGGATAGTATAATAATATGTAAACAATGATTCGACTTCGACTAAATTTACTGGTTCGATAATTGACTTTATGACTTTACTAGCCGTATGGCACAACAGGGTCCTTTTGTTTGAATGTTGGGCTTACTCTTCTTAAATTTGCTGCTCTCTTAAAGTATATTTAAATTACAGGTAAGAAAATACTCTAGGTACTTGAAGAGGGGATTTTTTTCATTCTATACAACCGATTCAATGATATTTTGCGTTTGTTAATTTAGGTGAACAAAACTTACTCGAAGCTAGGAATCACCTTTACATTAAATCTAATGGACTTTATAATTTAGAGAGGCGCGGGCGGTCAAACAGCTGACTTTGTACACCCCGGCATTCCTTATACTCGTTAAACTAACAAATAAACTTCGATCGCTCGCTGTTCCTAAACAGAAGGTATTAACGAAACATGTGCATATACCTACATAAGTGTGCGCACACACGGTTCCGCCTGGCCTCGCCTTGGCGCGTTGCAGGCTGTATGACGTCACACACGTGATAAACTGAGTCAACAATCAACCTTACCATCTCCCATGATGATAGAATAGATCAGAGATTATATTTCGCGTTATTTAGGGCGTCCTTTCTGTTTTTAGTTTAACCGCTCGCCGGACAAGGACGACTTACTTATCTCGTCGCTCGCAATGCACACATTACATGCTTGCCTTGCAAACATAATAACAGAGAGTGCTGATAATATACACCAAAGTCCAAAAACCTATATCGCCTAAAAGAAATAGGCTTTGTATTATCATATAGAATAAGAACTTTTAGCGTCTCATTTTTAGAAATAAGTGATTTTGTGAAGGTAAAAGCTAGTAACTTGGTGCTGGCGCTCAACAAACTATGCATAAGCCGTCCTACAGACGAAAAATTTGCATACCAACCGTTTGTATTTGCGAATGGTGTCTAGCACCGTGAGCTTGTCGAAATTCGCAATGCTAATAATACAATGGTCAGACGCACCTCGTGTAGCATCGCATCTGTCGAATTCAATCGAAAACATTAAATAAGCAACCTTATTAACATGCGACAAGTCCTTGTTTACGTTGAATTTTAGTATACTATAATGAAACGAAGCTAGACAGATATAATTTAGTTTTCTTCTGGCTGAGCGATTGTAAGGTAAATAGGTTTATGTATGAATGGTTTTAAACGCTACATTCGCCTGAGGGGGATGGCTCAGCAGCTCTTTGTGGGCTACGCCGCGCGCCGACATATTCACGGATAACTTTCGACAGTCATTGAATGGAGGGTTCGATGACCCGCCATGGAAGCGTTGTTCGAATTTGCATGTGTCAATGACACGATCTGCAGCGGCCGCGCGCCGCACCGCTGCGGCCCATACTTTTCCTTTCAGTTGCCGTCGGCGTCGTTTACTGAGAAACACAGAAACACTTTTCGGAATGACCTCGTGACACAGCTGCAACACCGGCCGCGCACCGGCTACACGTTTTTGAGTATTATGTTTACGAATGTTTGACGAATACAATAATGTTTTTTTAATACGATATTGACAACGATAGCGTCGTTACATCATTTATTTTTGCCGACATTTATTTGCCGTAAAACCATTTTACAAAGATGAAGGACTATTTAACATGCGAGAATAATAAATGAAATCTACTTCTATTCAACACTTTCGTGCTAGAATAGTCAATTCACGAACATGACTAAAGATAATTTTGGAGGAAAATTAATATCTAGCAAAAGAGTTTAGCAAGAATCCTGGAGCTATCAAACACGTCGAGTTGGAACGTGCGAAATCCAATAAAGAACTTGCGGCACCTGTTCCTTATTACATTCTTTTGGTGATGCTCACCGGTCGGTGCTCCACTGAAATTCGCTCCAACTTTCCATGTCAGGAGATTGCTTGTTGTACAACTTTTACTTTGAAAATTCATTCCATTAGTATCAGCGGTGGAGCGAAAGTTTTATCAACGAAACGTTTTTATAATTCAGTATTAAATTCTTGTTCGAATCGGATCTGCATGACGTTTAAAGTCGATATAGGGCTTTCGATAATCTCGTTTATTCCGTAAGTAGTAGTCCTTCTGTCAATGTGTAACGATAGGAGTAGATTGCTTCTGGCGTACTAAATTGTATATAAATAAGAAGTATACACATTTCACATGTATGAAACAATGGTATCCCTAGTGGGCGTTGTGATTTTAATTGCAAATGTGTTATTAGCATATGCGCTTTGTAAGTTCTTGAATGGTGCGGGCCCAAGGCGACGTGCGATGTCCTTATGAGCAAAAGACTGTTGTATCCACACTCACAAACTAGATACTTAATAAATCATTATGAATAATGTCGAGTATCATGACATGATAAGACACATTTTCTACATTCTACCTGAACACTAACGCGACAGAGATTATTACTGCCGAGCAGTGATTCTAAATAGTATGTACTATTGATTATTAGACATTTCCGTAGCACGCAAGGAACAAAAATAGTTTTTAAATAACAAAACCATGTATATCTGTGAATTTGGAGTTCTTGAAGACAGAGCAAGAATTTAGTAGGAATATTTTGGCTTTGAACTTAGACAGAGCGATATTTCTACCAGTCCGGAGGTTATCTTTATTCTACACCACTACTCGCTACCTATTTTCTAAATTAGAAATAATAGACGTACAGGGTATCCATGCAGCTGCGAAGAAATAAACAGGCGTTCTAGAAACAATACAAAAAATGTTAAAACAATTTCAACATCTCCAGCGTGTACACCGTTAAATAAGCCCAGTTTAAAATGTTATACAGTCCAAAGTAATGTTTCAAATCATTTAAGTGGTAAGTAACTGTGCTCACTGCAGCGTATTTAGCTACTAATTAATAAATAGAGCACTCTAAACATAGTTTTCCGAATGGCAGCGCCGAGGAAATTATAATTAGTAACTGTGTGTGAAACATAATTGGTTTGCACCCATTACATATACAATGTGTAGTTAGACGTAGTATACTCATATTCAGGTAGCTTGTATGTAGGTAGAAGTGGATATGAGTCATAAAGGCAAAGTAACATTTTCGTAGTCTAGTATTCAAATAGCGCTCCTTTTAGTTAAGTTAAAACGGTTAGCTCATATAATAAACAAATAAGTTTTAACAACATCAGTAACAGCAATTGGTTTGTATTAAAGATACAAATTATTTATCGTTAGATCAAAAGATGTAAAATACATTAACGCATTTCTCTTACTTAACACTATCCTGAGTAAATTTCACACCCGAAAACATTTGTCACCCTAATCGTCCTTGGCCCCCCTTACTTTATGCCTAAATTATTATTTCCTAGGCCATAGCGAAAATGGCCGTCTACATTCTACTCATAAACTAACCAAATATTTAACAGCTATAACTATTTAAATGCAGTAAAAACAGCTTTAATTACTTAGCTAGTTAAGCATTTTATTACCTAACGGGTTCACTATCAAACAATTTCCAATTATATGTGTAATTTACAGTAAAGATAATTTAATTCAACTTAAAATATCTACGAGCATATTCGTGTAAATAAACTAAGGAATCATTAAATGATATTGGATCTTTAAAGTAATTAATAATGATAAATTTATACGAAGTAATTTTGGTATCAACATTGTAAATTCATAAGTGATCTTTATATGACCGTCGTTAGTAAAGGGAACAACACTAGTACTTTATTAAGTGACGACTAAATAAAGCTCTGTATTTTACTTAGTAATAAATAAGTTTCATTATTCATCAGTTGTTTCTAACCATTCTTTCCATCATTATTTATCAGTTATTTTATTGCTATTTTCTTTCAGTACTAGTTACAACTGTGTAGAGTTTATAAAGACATACTAGTAAACACAAAAAGGACAAGTTACACCGTTTATGTATCAATATTTATATTTACTGCTAGAATTGGCATCCAATTTGCAGCACAGTACAGCACCGCAGCCACTCAGAAAAGGATCTGACAACAAACATTTCACTTTAAACCTAATGAATACAAAAATACGGCCTGTTACACAAGTAAGAAAAACCAAATTAGTGAGGTCTAAGTTGTGCTTTTTATTACAGAAACTGGCATTCATGTCAATCCGGCTTAATAACTCATAGCCTGATATGGATTTAATATTAAAGCTTTTTATAAAAATGATTCCCTTTACAATACATGTATTGTACTCATACAATACTGAAATTTGACTGACCATACTTTACGTAACACTTAGTGTAATAATTTGCTATCCTATTAGGTTATACAACTGTCTTGACTTCCTATGTATTCATTACGTGAAATATATACAGACAAAGACCCATAAATAATTCAAATATTAGTACTTTGCTGCACGGCTATAAAATTGATGTATGGAATAATAATTTGACTTCCTCCTTCCGCTAGTTCATAGACCCCAACCACAGTTTAAAAGCTAAATGCAAATGGAATACGAAAGTAAATTTTTAACACGGTTACCCTAGCCTATTCGTAGAGCACAACAAATTTATGATTGAATTGCAGCCGCCCGAACCACATTCGTTGACAAGTTTCTTATCCAAAAAATATTTCTCGTATTCTACTGTGCTCACTAATCGCGTTAATCGTATTACAGGTTTGTCTGCCATACCTGATAACAATTGATGTGATTCATAAATAGTCGACCTGAGTCTGGGTGTTCTTTGTGTCCGTTGCTTTATGGTTTGTAAAACTCTTTAAAAATCTTGCTTCCTGATGATATTATGTTAATTTTAGGCAACCACTCACAATAGCAGTTATAATTTCATTTCCGCGTAATAAAATTCATACAATGCTTGTTGTACTACAAAATCAACGGTAAACTTAATGAGAAAAATTAAAAGAGTGTGACGTAAAAACCGGCAGACGCAGACACTAGACAAACAGTATAAAATCAACAAGCTGTACTTGTACATACAACTTACCTACATAACAGATTCTCTAGAAAAATATTTTGCATTCTTGAAACAGTAAAATGTTAACTCATCATCAACCTATCGCAGTCCACTGCTGGACACATAATGTTAACTGAAAAGTGTCAATCATTTGGTTACTTCACCGATTGCTGCTCTTCTTGTCTAAAATCATGACAGGTCTATACTAGTATTCTTGAACTTAAATTAATAGTAACCTATTTTAATTGTTTATTTTTTTGTAAATGCGAAAATGTTGTATATCCATTAGGGGCACTAAAGTAACATCTAGGAATGAAAATTCTGTCACGATTTAGGAATTATGTTATAAAAATTCTATTTTTCTTACAGGTACGTAACATGACATTGTGCCAGATCCAAAGAAGTACGTACACGGTCAGAAACAACATCATCCATGTGAGTAGCTTTAAGCATTATTATTTTCATTAGTATTAAAAGTAATGTAAGTACGTAGATTTATTACGCAACAGTTCAATGTCCTAAACGAGAATGCTCATTTATAGTTTCACATATAAACGTTCGCGTCATTCTTTAAAATAAATAAAATTGTTAAAAAAAAAGATTGTAATAGGACTTTTCGATCCTGAATCTCTTCTATAGAACTTAGGGTTTGCAATTAAATCTTAACTTATTAATCATAAATCTTACAAGGACTAAAACTACTCAATGCAGGCTTAATAATGCAGTTTATACATACTTGACACAACAAAAAAGTATGAAACTGATTTTCACACTGAAATGGGCATTCTGCTTTCTTAAAACGAGAACCCTAATGTTTGAAAATCCCTTTATACCAAAAAAACTTCATTTTAAAAAGCGATATATTTTTGAAAATAGTTTATTTAGGTGTTTCTGTCACATTTATATTCATATCCACATAATATTTCATACTGTTTAAAAGAAAAAAGTACGCAAAAAAAATATGAAAATCTTCAACGTTCAACACAAAAAAACTCAGCCTAAGAACGGTTTATGGTATAAACTGTTTTATAATTTCACATCATTTGGTATTCAAAAATCTTACTTCTTCTACTTACTTTAAAGAATATTTAAAATTCCATCTAGTCTTATCGAATTCCACATAATATGTAAAATATAAAGAACAATCAAGACAACTGTCTGGTATTTTGTTTCGAATAAATTATTTTACGGTACGAGCCTTTAAACGTGTCAGACCAAAAATGGGACACGTGTATTGCGGTCTAAGGTAATTCTTGGGTAACAAACGATACCGAATGTGTGTAACGATTTGTCAGTTAGCCAGTATCGAGTCCTAAGACGAGTATCCTCTGCCACGGCTCGGGCTGCGATGTCTTTACGACGTCGTATATCGCACGCGCCGTAATTGAAACCAACAGTGCGTGACTTGCTTGTTTCTTGTGCCCATCCTACTTGTTACGTCAAACTGTAAATTTCAACGCTTCAGTTTAATTTATGTTGCATTTACAGAATACTTGTTTAAAGTTTTAAAATATTCTTAGGAAAGTTGATCGTTTGATAATAAAAAATCTGTTCTGTTATACTAATATTTACTTTTCACATACGGCGTACTAGGACTGCCATCTGCTGATGCTAGGACTAGGATTGCTAAGATTTGTCTGAATGCACAGTAGTATCAATAAAATATAATATATATACATGTACATACATGTACATATATTTAGTTTAATTTAAAATACTTACTATATATATATACATGTACATATATTTAGTTTAATTTAAAATACTTACCGATAATGCTAAATATTCATCTGTTTACTAGAAAAGTGAACTTACTTATTTCGTAACTGTGGAGACCAAAGAATTAAGTATAATAAAATAAAGGTATTAATTTTGAAATTTCTCGGTCACTGTATTATCGAACACTTGATGGGTAATAATTTAAAATTAATAAACACAATTGAACCGTTAAATACATTTTCACCGTTTACATTCCGAGC